GGTGGAGATGCAAGGTCGATAGACTCAACTCCTGCCGACTCTTCTCTAGCTTTCATGAGACGTTGCTTCAATAATGCATACCCTCCTCGTGACAATACATGGGGTGCATCATTCAACCTCTCGACGTTGTTGGGCAGCATGTCTTTTATCCCGCCAAGAGGGGTCCATTCGACTGGCACAAAACTCGTAACCAATCCTCCTCACTAATTTGATACTTTAGACAGGGAGATTCATCTTGAAACTTTCCAAATACATACTCCCATGTCAAGAAAGTCTTAAAGTCCCTCCATCTAATGGCAATGGAGGATAAAATCTTCTTCCTCATCACCTCAGTGTTAGGAACATCAAAATATTGTTGTGAAATGACCAATAAATGTTAAATTCAATTAATAATGATATATAAAGTATTCAACAAATATAGAAATACCTGAACATCTTGCCACATGAGGTTCTTCTCGGTTTCCTCTACATCATCCCAAGATGGAGTAGTAATCGGAACATGGTGTCGAGCTAGTAGTCCCAAATAGCTCTTAAACTTAGCCGCATTTGGGCCAGATGCCTTACCAGAACGTGGATCAACTTCAACTTGAGTTTTCTCTCTAGCTACCCTCCTTGCTGTCAACCCCTTTAACCAAGTGACAGATTTACCTTTACCTCCACTTCCGCTCCTGCCACTGCCACTACCACTACCAGTACCAGATGTGGAATCCAACATATCCTGAAAAACAAAACAATATGAAGTCAACATACTTTATAAATTTGAATAAAAAGATCTAAAAAATCAAAAGATAAACACCTATTATGTTGGTATGTTTTCCCATATCCCTTCATCATGATCACTTCATGATGTCTAATATTTCTCCATGCCATGTCCATATTGTATAACTCTTAATAATACCATAAACAAACAAGTGATCACGTATATTCTCAAGTTTATGACGAATTTGATTCAAACAACGAACACATGGACAATAATATGTCCCTTTCATAGCTTTTCCATTTTCACTAGCAAATTTCAAAAAATCCTCAACTCCCTTTTCGTACTCTTCACTAATACGACGTGCATTCATCCAACTTCGATTCATATTATGTTATAAAGTTTTGTCACTCCTAGAGATTTAAAAATTATACGTAAAAAGAAATTAATATACAAACAACAAAGCACGTTCCAACAACAATGGAGTGTGTAAACCGAATGCACTGAAACAAATAAACAAATAATTACATTCCAATAACAATCCAGTGGAAACATTCATACTATAACGTGATTGAGATCCCCAAAAACAATCACGGATTCAATTTAAACATATAGCAATGGCATAGAACACTAACCTCGAGTGTAGACGAAAAATGATTTCAAACTCGAATCCAATCGGGGAGAAATATCAAGTTCGTAAAATGACACACAATGTTGATGTTTGTCACTGTCAAACTGATCGAAAATGGTGTGCAGAGGTAGCTGTTGTCGTTGTTCTCGTCGTCGTTCTCAAAAACCCTGGTTGCGCGAGATGGGGGAGTGGCTCCGGGGGGAAATAAAAGGGACTTTTTACGTCGCGCATCCCAGTATGCGACGTAAAAAGCACTCTTTTACGTCGCGCATCCCAGTACGCGACGTAAAAAGCACTCTTTTACGTCGCACCTGGGTGGCGCGACGTAAAAGAAAGTTTTTTACGTCGCGTGCTGGGGGGCGCGGCGTAAAAAGCCTTCTTTTACGTCGCGCCACCCCGGTGCGACGTAAAAGAGGCTTTTTACGTCGCGTACTAGGATGCGCGACGTAAAAGTTTTGTCTCTTATTTACAAAATTGCCACCGCATTTTATTTACGTCGAATATTTTTACATGCGACGACAATTGGGTGACGTAGAAACCCTTTTTTGCACTAGTGTATTTTCATAATTGTTGATAAAATAAAAAACAACATAAATAAAACTATTACATAAATAATATTGTTAGGGTTAAATCCGGATGGAGCTGGTGGAACCTATGTTCTGATCCATGCAATTAAACTAGACCTTTTTTTTTAACAAATTTGTTGTGATAAAACATGTTTTTTAATGATGTCTCAACTTCACTTATTTAGTTCTTCACAAGACTTTTATTTTATTTTATTTTAATATATCTAATTATTAAAAATAACAAAATTTAAATTTTTAAAAAATAGTTAACTGCTTCTTCACATGTAACATTTAGTGTTTCTTTGTATTTATATGAGTAAAAAATGTTATACATAACAAAATAAATTATTATGAAATATATATATATATATATATATATATATATATATATATATTAAAATATTTACACATTAGAAGTTCTTAGAGACAATTTTAAGTGTAAGGAAATTTCAAATTTCAAATTAGTCCAATAACCAATTTAAAATATTGAAGGTTTTGTCAGTAAACTGTGAAGTCTCACCAAGAGTGAAATAATATAATGGAAATAGGTAAAAAATAAATATCAGAAATCTGTATTTACTATTTTGCCTTGATTATGTAAATATCATAATCAGATTGTGAATATTATTAAAGCATGAGTATATTTCGGTGCTTTCCATCTGATTTTTTTTTATAATAAAAAAATCAAAATAATTTACACTTAAACTTATTCCTACTGTATAATATATGATAAGCAATTTAATTCAAAAGAGATAAAAAGAATAGAAAATAAATTTTGGGTTAGAAAAAACACGATATTTTACTTTAAGGAGTTAGATATCACTGTGAATTTAATATCATGAATTTGTTATCATTACACCATATGATTTGACTTTAAGGAGTTAGATATGACTGAATTTTTGGACGATATTTGCATAGGTGAAAATTACCTCCCCAGTTTAGTTTGGTATGGGTACGAATAAATATTTGCATAGGAGTTAGATTATGGTAATATTTTAAAATGGATTAAAACTTAGTTTAATAAATTAATAGAACAATTTTGATTTAATTAAATTTTAAAAAATTATTAATGTATTTATATCAAATTAATTAATTAAAAAATATTCAAATAAAAATAAATTTTTAAAATTTAAATTATATTAATAAAATTATTTTTTAATATAAGATATAATAATTTAATATATAAAAAAATATCTATTTAATCTTAAAATAAAAATAAAAAATTTACTATTGTAATATATATATATATATATATATATATATATATATATATATATATATATTAATAAAATAATACTATTTTTATTTTCATTTAAAAAATAATAATTATTTTATAGAACGAGCTAAGTTATAAATTTATCTTACCTAAATGTATATAGGTTTTAGGTGATAATCTAAATAGACGACTGATATAAATATAATTTTAGATCATATATTTATTTTATTTTAGCCGTTTATTTATCGTAAATTAAACATAAACACCATTATAAGGTATATATGAATTAAAACTTGTAATTGTATAGTAACTGAAATTATATATAACTTTATATTAATATAAAACATTATTTAAAAAACAATAATCATATATAATTACGATAATGTATAATTGAAATAATTCTTTTTTGGAAATATAAAAATGCTTAACCTTTATAATTTAGCATTACGAAAGTCATATTCTATATAAAATTATTCGTAAGAGTTGGTATACTTTGTGCCAACATAGGTTTTAATTCTTCAGTAGTTATAAGTTGAAATGAGTTAAACCACTTTCTATTAAGCATAAAATTGAAAACAAAACATGTTTATAATAAAGTTGTCATTAGTACAAAATTGATTATGTATTTTAGTTAAATGTGAATAATTGTTAAAAAAAATGTGATAATATTTTTAAAATTATTTTAAATTTTTTATCATATATTATATGACAACAATTTATTTATAATTATTTGTCAAGATGATTTTTTTAATAATTTTTTTATTATATATGTTATATGGAAGGATAATTATAATTAGAAGTTGTTATGTTTCATTATATATTTTATTTTGCTTGTTATATTCATTTATCCTTTTTGGTTTAATTTTTTTTTCTTTTTTCTTCTTCTTCAAGAATGTCGGCAAAAAATGTATAAATAAGTGTTAAAATAGACTTAACCTGATAATTCGACCTAAAAAATAAGTTAGATTAAGAAAAAAAATTGTAATATAAATTAAACTAGATCTACGTGAACTTAAATCAGACTAACTCATAAACTTATGAACTGACCGCTTTATAAATAATAACTATTTTTTAAATAAAAATAAAAATAATGTTATTTCATTGAAAAAAAAATATAAGTATTATAAATTTATTTAAAAATATTCACTTATTTTAAAAATAAATATAAAATTAAGTCTTTAATATCTATTTAATTAAGAATATAATTTTTAAAATAAATTATTAGACCAACAAATTATTAAAAAATAAATTATAATAATAAAGAATAATTTTATAATTCTTATTTTTTTTATTTAATAGATTTTAATTAAGTTAAAATTCACCTATTGGGCGGTTAACTTAGTTTAAACTAAACCAAAAACTTTTTTTTTAATTAGGGTAGACAGTAGACTGAATCAAGATCCCCAACAGCTTTTATATATATATATATATATATATATATATATATATATATATATATATATATATATATATATATATATATATTTATTATGAGTAGAGATAAAACTTTTGCATGCATGACAACAATAAAAAAAAAAAAAGCCATTTAAATTTATTGTGATCAAACAAGATTTACTCTATCGAAACAAGATATAGTTAAGTAGAATACACACCTATAATTATATAATTGTATTAACCCATAACTCAATATAAAATTTATGTTTTATCCTCACTCACGCTTTTTCTGATAACTTTCCAAAATGTCACTCATCCTATAATTTTTCAAGTCAAACACACTTAATTATGAAGTTGTTACATGATAGGGCACCGAAAAATAAATGCATTTTGTTAATATAAGTAGTACTAATAAATTCATTTAAACTATTCTTTAACTATATAGTCTCATACATATAAAATCTCTGGATCCCTCTGCTTTGAATATGTTTCAGTTCACTCATATGACCCTTCTGCTAGAACGCTCCTTATCTGTGTCTCACTGTACCCGCGATCACTTAACTTACAAAAATATAATCTTACAATTATAAAATTTTCGTTATATAAAAGATAGCATTTGGAGAAATGATCTACATCTATTCTACAATTCGCAACTATCTATATATACAGTATGTGTAATATGTATAAGCCTCACTAACTGTGTACAAGTCTAAGTCAAAATTAGCCAAAAACTACTTTTTTGGTTAGTTGGCACGAACAACAGTAAAAACCTAATTCAGCTTGATATTATCAGAAAAGCACCATATTTTGGTGGCCAACAGCAAACAAAATCGCTTTCACAGAATAATTACATGTAATTGGTCCTTCTTCACACAACTTTTACTTTGGTATAGTGCTTAATTCTGCGTCTTCGTTGCAACTTCGTGTCTTGCCACTAATAATTAACACCTGGAATAGAAGACATCTATAGTCAAAAGCACTTCCGAAAAATGCTTCTCCTTTTCATAAAATAAAGAAGTGTACGGTAGAGTGACACAAAGCAAAGCATCATTATTCCATCAACCATAATATAATACTGTGTTTATATCTTTATGTGAAGAAAATCACGCACTAACCTCTGTACTCATAACTTAGAACATCTCAGATAAGAATTGATGAGAGATCATTTTTTAGGTCAATCCCCAAATATTATTCTTTTGGATTATTCAATAAAAAAAATCTTTCAAAATCAATGAAATTCATCCTTAAATACGGTTTTTTTTTTTTTTTTTAAAGTAGAAGTGAATTGAACCCTCCTGATATCAATTATTTATCTGAAATTATCATGTAATTTATAAATATATAGATAATTCAATCAATTCATTAGTAGTACATTTAGTTGGAAAAGAGTTTCCTTTAATGACTTCATAAAAATCTTGTCTTATTTGTTTGATGACATTGTTTAGTGACTGAAAGGCCTAGTTTAAACATTTATATTGGTACGTGACAGCAGTAGATGCACTTGGTATAATGGGACAAGTATGACCACATTAAATCTGTTTTATATATAATAATAAAAGACATGTTACTTTTTTTTTTAATAAATTGAATTTGAACAAATGTATAGAGAATTTACAATAACTCACTATTTATTATTAGAGTTGGTTTGTTTATTAATTTATTTTAAGATAATTTAAAATTTTAATTATAAAAAACTTTAAAACTTGTTTTACTAACTATTTTACAAAAATAATTTTCAAAAACTGTTTTTATTTTTAAATTTTTAAAAATTAAAATATCCTAGTAAAATTTACTCTTTTTTTTAATTTTCTGATTTCATTAATAATATTCATATTTTTACTATTTATTATATTATATTGTCTATTTTTATTATTATGAATTTGTCAAAATCGTTTTTCAATTTTCACCGATTTTTTTCTCGATTATTCTTTAATATAAAACCAATTTCAAATTAAAATGATCAAATAGCTTTTTTCAACTTATTTATAAACAAATTTAAAAATTTGATCTCTTAAATTATTAAAAAAAAACTAAATCAAACAATACTAAATACAAGAGTTTATATACTTACAAAGAGTTAGAATATAAAATAGTGTAAAATTAGATTAAATTTAAGGAACGAAATATATTTATGTCTATTTTTTTTATTAAAATAGTAAAACCAATATAATAGATAAATTTTTATATAAATCAAGGAAAAAAAATTTCAGGATAGTTTAACAAAATTAGCTCTTAATTATACTACTCATTGATCTTTGTTGTAATCAGATCCAAATTATAAATGAATGTTGCTTAGTCTTCTTTTATAAATATAAATTCATAACGTCTATATGAACTGTTTTTTTTTTTTTTTAAAACCTTATTATAGTTATTTGTCTTAAGTCAATAAGTATTGTAAGACTTTTATTAATGTTCGAAATAGTTTTAAAAATTCTAAATTATTTTGTGACTCTTATATATATATATATATATATATATATATATATATATATATATATATATATATATATATAATTTAAGTTGATTTTTATGTTATTAAAAATTTTAATTAAGTCTTTTAATTTTTTTAATTAACACCAATTTGTCTCCTTTCTCAATTAACACGTAAGTCGTTATTAAAAAATATTTTATATATGATCAAATTGATACTAATTTGCATTAAGGGACTTAATAGAATCTTTTAATAATACAATGATCAAATTAAATAAGTTACATTGAATATACAAATTAGTAAATTATATAAACATATGGAAAAATTCTTAGTAAATTATAAAACATTTTTTAGTAAAATGTTTGCACACTTCCATGGGTGATGGTAAATAACTTTCTTTAATAAAAATATTAATAATACTTCATATACTTTTGTACTAAATACATAATAGAGAAATTATCTGTTAAAAATCCTCTTAAATAAATATTAATTTAGCAATGACATATGAAATATTGTATTTAATTTTTTTTACGTTATTAAGATATTAAATGAGATTCACTACAAGAAAAACACCAAATAGTGACCGAAATTAGTGACTGAAAAATTCGATCATCGATAATGACTCGAATCGATGACTGATTTCCCTTTTTATATTTAGTGATCGATTTAGTGACTAAAATTTCGATCCACGAGATATCGGTCATCGATTCGATCACCGAATCGGTCACTGATTTAGTCACTACTAGAAAAATGGTTAATAGTGACCGAAAGTGGTGACTCGAATTTTTTTTATATTTAGTAACTCGATTTAGTGACTAAATTTTCAGATCACTAGAAAAAAAATTTTAAATTGATAACTATTTTTCATTTATATAAATATTTTATTTAAAATATTTTAAATATAAATCTACTTAATAATTTAAAATAAGTGATAACATTGTTAATAACATTATAAAAATTTTAAAAAAATAGTTTACTAACTTATTAAATAATTTAGTAATATAATTATTTAATTTTATTTTTTAATTTAGCATGTGAATAAAAAAATTAAAATTGCTTATTAAATTAGTCACCGAATCGGTCACTGATTCGGTCACCGAATCGGTCATCGAATCGGTCATTGATTCGATCATCGAATCGGTCACTAAATCAATAATTAAATTAATTATTAATTTAGTCTCTTTTATATATATATATATATATTACTTGTATGTTAATAAAAATGTATTTCAATGTATTTATAAAAAATTAAAATTATTTTAATTACTGAATTGATATTTTAAATTTATATTAATATCTTGGATAATTTAATAGTTGGATATATATTTTAAGTTTATATTAGTCATTTTTATATAAAAGTGTAAAAATAAAGTGAACTTATTTTAAAATTTAATTAAACATAATAATATAATATAGTATTAACCATAAATATGTGAAGATTTAGTTAGAAATTAATTTTAAGTTTTATTGTTTTTATTTAAAAAAAATCGTTAAAAAAATTTAAAATAATTAATTAAAGTAAATAATTTTAATTTAATAAATGTGTTAATATTATTAGAAGAATTAAATTTATATTAATAATTATATAAAATTATAGATATATTAAAATTTAAATTATTGGTAATTTTTTTAATTATTAAGCTAAAATTTGATAATATTAATAAATTAAAAATAAAATATATATATATATATATATATATATATATACACATATATATATATATATATATATATCACTTTAATTTTTTTAATTAAAATTAATTTCATAAAAAAATTAATATATATATATATATACATATATTTATCTTTTATTTAATTATACTTTTACACCTAAAAAAAGAAAAAAATAATAAAATTTTCTTTTATTAATCATTTTTATAAAATAAAAAAATATATAATAATTACTTTTTTTTAAAAAAAATTTAACGTTCTTGATTCTTTAACAGATTCGTTTTAACCGATACGACAATGTTTATATCAATTAAAACACTTTACAAAAAATCTTCTAAGTTGATTTAATCGATTGTTTCAGCGATTCAATCGATTGAAATACTTGCAAAACTTTCTCGTAAAACTTTTCAAGTTATTTTAAGCTGATAAAAATAAGTTTTAATCGATTAAAACGCTGTGCAGAAATTGTTTTAATCGATTGAAATGAGATTTAATCGATTAAAAGAGTTCTGATCGGTCATAATTTCATTCAGATCGATCATAATTGAAACCATATAATAGCGGTTTCAGATTAACCGCTATCTAAGTGAGCTTTTAAGAGCGGTTCTCGTGTAACCGCTATCTAAAATGTATTTCGCTTGAGCGATACTCTTATCGCTCGAGCGAAACGCCCCTGCACAAAATTGGCATTCTCGGGTTGTATTTCGCTTGAGCGACTATAATCTCGCTCGAGCGATGGTGCAACCGCTATTAGAAGTAAATATAAACATATAAATATATAAATATATATAAATATGTAAAGATATAAACATATATCTTTAATATTTTGTAAATGTAAATATAATTTATATATATTTTTAAATCTTTTTCTTATATTTATTTTAAAAATATAATATTATTTTTAAAATTTAATATTTTTTTTTCAAATATATAAATATATAAAGATATAAATGTATAAGGATATAAATAAATATATAAATATATAAATATATCAAAATATAAATATATCAAAATATAAATATATAAATATATAAATATATCAATATATAAATATATATAAATATATATATATATATATATATATATATATATATATATATATATACAAATATATCAATATATCAATATTATCCCCTCATATATTAATATACATTATTAGCATAATTTTAATTTAATTAAAAATTAGAATACAAATATACTATACTATACTAATATACCATTATATTATTTTCATTGTATATAAATTACAAAATTAATAATTTGTATACTATACTATACTAATATATTATTTGTATACTATACTAATAGTATAATATACTATATTATAATATTATTTGTATAGAAAACTAATATCTTTATATATAAATATGAAAACATATAAATATATGTAAAAATATGAAGATATAAATATATAAAAATATAAATATATGTAAAAATATAAAGATATAAATATATCAATATATAAATATATCAATATTTAAATATATTAAAATATATAAATATATTTTTATTTATAGATTTTATATTTATATATTTATACGGATATACATT